AGGAACCGAATAGTTAATTTGCTAGATTGCTCAAAAGCCACATTGTATGCAAACTCTGGAAACTGATTACTTAAATATTTTAAAGTATTGACAGATATGAAAGACAATGAAGTGTTCTGATTTTTTTTTTCTTATTGCGATATTTAAAATGGGAAAAACATGGGAGCAGGTTTCTCAATCCCACTCTGCACTTCTGGGTTATGTTTAGCCTTCCAGAGCACTTTACAGCTGTTTTATTTTGTTTTCTTTTATGGAAGGGAAAGATGAGAATGTTTACAATAACTATAATCATTAGGTAGCATCTTTCTGTCGTACTTCCCACCATAAAATATGTTCATGTACTGCTATCTAATACAGACTAGTAAGAGTCCTGCCGTGCGCATTCTTACTGACTTCAGTTACAGTACCCCGGCTGCGTAGGCCTTGGTGACGGCTTTTAGCTGCGTAAGCTACATCGTACGTTGCAGTAACTATGAAATATCATAATCATTGTATATAATCTCAAAAGCAGATATTGATTGAGGCAGAAAGCAGCTAAGGCTTGTTCACTTGCTCTTAGATTTTGGAGGGCAGAATCACGTTTCAGAAGCAGTTACTAAAATGAGACGTGCTGTTTTCATATCCAGTGTATTATCATCCACAACATCAAATTGTGATCTATGCACAAAGTTGCACATAGGCATTACTTGCACACACAGTATTAAAGACTCTGTGTGCAGAAAAGCATGGGAGTGAAAAATAGTGTTTAAATAAATTCGGCATGCGAACCAGCCATGTACCTGAGAGGTCAGTTTAAAGCACCTTAAAAATTTGGCCTGGAGTTTCAGACTCTTTCTGAATAAATATAATACAGTCCAGGACGGCTAAGATTAATTATAAATACAGTAAGTAAGGACTGCAGAGTTGCGCCCATAAAGATATGGGAAGAAATGATGAAATCCCAAGGGTCCTGAAAAATAGCACAGTCCTGATATTTGTTGGCATTTAACTTTAACTAACTGTGTAGAGTCTATTATTTAATGCTATCCAATATTCTATAATACTAACAGAGTAGTGACACTAGAGGAACAGGCAAACATTACTGCGTAGGGATGGAAGGTTGTTGAGTAACTTGACCAGCTGGAACATCGCTATTGTAAAATAAATGCAGCTACTGTTTTTTTCCTAAAACCCTCTTGTGGACATGGACGTGCATATACGTTTGCCTTGCAAAAGTGGTTTTGAATAGCGTCCTCCTTACGTTTAATGCAAAAATACTCGTCTGCCAACGCACGCACAAACCACTGTCAGCTAATTCCTTACAAATCTTTACCTATTTCGAATTGGTACTGAACACAAGTGACTCCAAATTTAGAATATGTGCTTGATAGCTGATCAGCAGCAGTCTATTTTAGCCACGTCGTGGAATATGGGACACGAACATTTCCAGTGTGTGTGCTGCATGACAGAGGAATAGTAGGGCAGCGACAGCCGCCGCAAAAAAGGCTGCGTTCCTCTACTAAAGCTATTTAGCACCGATGTGAATTAGACAGATCTTTGTGCGTGAGCAGTACAAAAAGGATGTAGCATAAGCATTCTCCCCGAAGTAAATTTTGAGTTATTCCTGTGGCGGGCTTAGATCTGGGGGACGTTTTCCTGTACGCGCTTAGCAATTTAGCTGCCGAATACAGGAACGCGTTTCCGGAGCGGAGCGGGCAAGAGCTGGGAAGAGTTACCGTGCCCACCCCGTCGCGTCGCCGCTGGGAGAGCGATTTTTGCCTTCGCCTACGTTTTCCTGGTTTCCCGTACGTTCCGTGCAGTAGCCGCCTCGGAGTAACAACCGCGTGCCTTATTTCGGCGGGAGCGACAGCGGTTTGGAGGCCGAAGGAGCGCGGGTTAGAAGACGAGCCCGCTGACGGGTCGGTCGTTTTGGTGGCTTGCTTGGGGCGCCCTGCCGCCGCTCTCCCGTAAGGAGCACCTTCCTCCGCTAAACTGGGGATGCTCGAGCTTTCGGAGCCCGGGGGGTGGGGGGACGAGCCGGGCGGAGGCGCTTGGAGGAGGGAAGGAGCTTTTCCGGGCGGCGCGCCTGGCCTTGCCGTCCTACGTCATTCGGTTGTAAGGGACGGGACCCGAAACACAAGTGTATCTTGCGCATAACTTTGTAATAACCGCTTTTAACGACAATAAAGTAAGCTCATCCCTTCCACTGCTAGGGTCTGGAGTTGTTTTTTTTTTTCTTTTGTTTTGTTTTGTTTTTCCCCCTTTCGTTCGTTTTAGACAACGCGTCCGCGGGTATTTGGATGCTCAACTGCCCTCGGGTGACGCCCCGGGCGGTAACGGCCACGCTGCCCAGCCCGGGGGCCGGTTTCCTTCGCACCGTGTCTTGTCCCCCCCC